GCTCTGGGTGAGGAGAGAGCAAGGCTGTAAACTGCTGGCAATAAATAGAGAGCAGGGAGGGATCTTATTGGAGAAACCAAACCTCGTCATCAACCAATCGGCGTCTCGCTTATATAGGGACCCCCCTTTTTGAAAAAAAAGAAAAAAAGAAAAAAAAATAGACAGGGCTAACCAAATTGTGATCTATACCAGAGAGTGTATATACTTATATGCATTGATGTAGGGATATGAGCATTTGATGCGGCTATTTGTTAATATGCATTTGCATTATCTCTCTTTTTTGTGCGTTTGCAGGGCGTCTAGCGAGTCTGCGAGACTGACCGTCGCTCTAAATGGGTTATATCGTGATAAATAACACTACATTAGGATGAGAATGATAATAAGAAACAAGATATGTGACAGCAAGGATGAGCCATTTGCACCAGATCACAAAAAAAACGAACCCATGTCCTCCACTTATACGAGCCAGCTGCGAGCTATACATCAATTGATGGGAAATGCAAACATACCAAGCACAAATAGGATCAGAAAAATAAGAGTTGCATGTCGACAAAGTGTGGGAAGCTTCGCACAGCCCTCCACATCGCATCACAACATAGCAAGAAGCATCTGAGGCGACTCATGGTCACCTATAGAGTTCACCGGAGGGTACCACTGCAAAAAGGACACGGGGGTCTCCGAACTGCAAATTCAGTCGGGAGCCGCGATGGTTCAGTCATTTACAGCGGTTTTAAGGTTGAAACCAAACAGAATGACAATTATATCACCACTACGATATACTGCAGCAGTTTACAGCGTATACAGCAACATTGTACAACTTAACAAAACAACAACACATTACTGAGCATCACATCAAGAGTTAATCACGACCGTAAACCACTCATTCTCACACGCTCTGAGTTCAAACAATCTTTAATATGTTTTGGGGGGGTTTAAATAACAATCAAATAGAATAACTTACCTGTTTTTTTTTGTTTTGTTTTTGTTTTCTTTGAAACGAGCAGATATGATTTGGACTTTAAGGTCCCTGCTCATCCAAAAAAAGTTTCCTGCTTGAAGAAGACACTGTTCACCACACTATATAGTAAAAAACGATGGAGAGAAGAGCTCAGAATCTGGTTCTGGTAGAAGAAAAGATAGAGAAAAATAAAAAGAATATCCAAATGAGCTGCAGATTATGCACCCTCACTGTATTACTGATATTCTTAAAATGAAAAATAAACAAAAACCAGTCAGTCACAGATTTTAGGGAAACAATGAGCCCTAAATATGATGCACTGATTACAGAAAGTGGGTCAGTATGTATCACTTATCTTAGCTACTTTCTTGTTTTTGATAGCAACAGCTGCTCGCTCATCTGAAAATCTACCTCTTTAATAAATAGTAGAAAAATAATATTTTCTTTTTTAAAGTGTTTCTTCCTATATTTATGAGAATCATTGAAGATTTAGTTTTGTACTTTTAAGTTCCCAGACACTCATTAAAAATGTCTGAATATCTTCCCAAACCATGGTACGTAAGGCCAGCAGATCCTCCTGTGGATAAAGGCAGCGACTTTCAGAGAAAACCAAACTGGTGAGCGTCTATCTGCACCACCAAGGAGAGTAAAGCTGTAATAGAATCCCACAATAAACCCCACTCTGTGTGGAAATACAGTATTTTTACTCTATGAGATGTAAGGAGTGCTCTGTTCCCCTCCTGACCGTCCCCACAAGTGGGGTTAGTGGGGAAACAACCTGTGTAGAGGCTGGCATGGAGCCCTGGGGCAAAAAGGTGGACCTCTTTCAGCATCTAGATTTCATGTTAATTTGATTATCCTCCAGTCCTGTGACGTGTTTGCTCTGGCCTTCCACATGGAAATGAAGACGTTTGTCCTCCCCTCAAGGCTTTTAAGGTTCCAGTTGTGTCGTTTTCTCAAGGAAGGCCATTGATTATGGCTCAAACAGGGTTTTTTTCTGCTCCCAAAAGGTTGTTGTGCACTCTTACAGAGTCATGAATGCCAAATTCCTTCGGAAAACAACCCAAAAAATCTCACTTGGTTATTTTTACTGGCCCAGGTCTGGTGATTTTCAGTGTGTAAAACTGTGTACACTTGCCAGATTGTGGACAGGGTTTGAAGAAAAGTGTTGAGATGGAGATGTTGGCACAATGAGACCATGAAGCTAATACCCATATTAAGCTGAACATCCATTCATAGCGGAGGTCACAGCTGCCCAGTGACACTCTAGACTGGGGTCCAGCTGTGGCTTCTTTTCTCCCGCCGTCCATCCTGACAGTACCTACTGTGTGCTGTCTAATTAAGCACGAATGTTTTTAAAAATAGTATTCAATAAAAAAAAAAACAGTTCCATCACTAGCTGAAGATCAGCACTCTGCGTCCACACTGTGCACGGTGACCGCGGCCTGCAGGTGGTGCGTGTGCAGCGGGTGGTGGTGTGTATGCGTGTGCCGGTAAGGGTGAAACTTGTGGCTGAGCAACGCGGCCGTCTGAGGTGGCGTGTCCAGGTCGAGGTCGTCGTCGTGGTTGCCGACGTCGACACCGGCCGAGAGCGGATCGTTGTTTCCTGGTGGATTCTCGCTGTCCTCCTGCGGACTCATGGTGCTGTAGCCTGGAGACAGAAGAACATGCAATGGTTGGTGTTACTGAACTTGTTATCACTCTTACGTTCAGTCATGAGTCAAAAACCATGACTTAACCACTTATTACACTTAACCTTTGCCATTAAAACTGAACTGGAAATGTTGAAAACCACTATCCTTCACAAAGTTTTGAAGAGTTAAAAATCAGTGCAAAGAAAATACAACATACTATATAATATTCTACTTCTTCTGCTTGAAGGCATATATAAAGAACTTAAAACATTAAAAAAAGAACTGGGAAAACACCATAAAAAACAACTACTCAGCAAATGACGCCCTCCAGTCAAACACATTCACGTAAATACATGGTAACACACACTGTTTCTGAAAGCAGTACGAGCTCTCTGATGGCACACTGACAACTAAATATCCCTACAGGGCAGTTTTGCTCCTTGTTTCAGCTTTCTCATACAATTTGAGGCAAAGATGCATACATATTTATGACTGCTTTCCTACACATGTTGCACATACGTTCTGCCTGAGGAGACGGAAACATAAGCCAACACGGCAGTTGGGATACGTTGGTAAGTGGAGCAGTGGGAGGACAGCACTGCTGTCACACAGAAAGGGGATTACTGGGTCAGAAAATAAGAAAATAACAGTTTGAACATAAAGAGGCCAATATTTCATGATACTGCATTCTACTGATGAAAGACAATTTAAAATGTATAATAGGCCAGATTTATCTCCAGTTTTGTGAGAACTGAGATGACTAATGATGTACTTTGATTGTTCAAAGCTTGCAGCAGCTAATTTTTATGACAACCTTGTAGGCTCTAGGTTTATTCAGTTCGCCTAATTTTTTCACTCGAACTCAAATTCAACATTAGCCTTCATCTGCTGAGTGGGTTTTTATCACCTTCAGGGCCATGAAATCCATCTGAAACCATGGTCTGACTATAAAAAAAATATTTGGGAGTTAATCTGGAAATAAACCCATTTTCCTTAATTCCTTTAGCGCCGTCGTTTCAGATTCCGAGGTGAGACCAGCAACATGCTGCACGATGGGAACATCAATCTGTTATTACAGTTGAGCAAATAACCCTGTAAGCCTGAGTGCCTCGACGATCATATTTATAGAAACTGCCGTTTTGGATGATGAAACATTAAATCAGAGATACTGAACCAAGTGATTTGTGAGCGTGTGTGTGTGTGTGAGTGAGAGAGAGAGAGTATATGTATGCAAGTGTCTGTGGCATGTAGGAATAAGGTGGTAGGTTGACGTGTGAGCATATGTTTGTTTGTGAAATTGATCTCCCACCAACCATTTCTATTCTTCAAATATCAAACAGTTAAACAGTTAAACCCTCAAGTAAACGTATCTAATCCCTCGACATTCTTCTCAGGGCTCTGGGAGTTCACATGATGAGACATCTTGTTTTGTTTTGGCTATTCACAAACAAGTGCTAAATAAGTCCAAACCAAGCCAAACTATTCAAGAGTAAGAGTCATGCTAGCAGCTCTATCAGAGTCAGAATCGGGTTTATTGCCAAGTCAGTTTACACATACGAGGAATTCGTCTTGGTGCATTGGTGCATAAGAATCACAAAAAATACTTTTTAAATATAAATAAAGATAGAAAGATCTAAAGCTGGACAAGAATGATATGAGGCTATAGTCTACACAACCTGTAACATTTCCGCATTATTTCTATAAACACTATACTTATGTTATATATTGTGTTGAGTTGTGTTCTAACATTATCCTAAATGTTTCCAACAATGTTCAAACTCAGAATTTTTCATTCAGGTAACACTGTGTTTCACTGGTCGCCTGTCAATGGCGTCATCACCTTTGCTCTTCGTCTTTTGTTATTGTTTTGACCTCTTAGCGGCAGAAATTACGTATTGTACATTAAAGATAAATGTCAGCATGCTAGTATGCTCACAATGACAATTCTAACATGCTGTTGTTAGTCAGGTCTGTTTTGTTTACCATCTTGTAAGCATGCTAATATTTGCTACTTTTCCAGGTATTTGGTCACAAACCAAAGTATTTTGACGTGATGATGCTACAGAAAGGAAAAGTCAGGGGATCACCAAAGTTATTAGAATTAGAATTGTTTAGTGGTGTATGTCATATACTGTCATATAACAGAAGGCAGTGAACGTCCCACATTGTGGCGTGATGTAAAAGAAGTAAATGTCCTGTATGTCTCACTGCACTAAAGTCAAACTGAGAAGTTTGCTCAGAATTTTCCCTCCCCGATTCTCAGAAGATTAGCCAGGCTTTGATACAACACGAAATAAAGCTGACAAAGACAAGGAGAGACAGAAGAATGTGCAGAGGGAGTGACAAGGAGAGACGAAATGGAGGGCAGAGAGAAGGAGGGAGGAAGGGAAGGATTAAAGGAAAAGGAGCGATGGAGACTTCAAAGAAGTTCCAGACACTGAAGGTGCCAACTTCAGCACAGTTTATCCCTCTTTTCCCCAAAGCATGAGCCAGAGTTTCAGGCAGGTCTACAGCTAACTCTGTCCTGTTGACAATTTCCAGCTGCACCAGGTGAGGAAAGCAAATAATAATGTCAAGAGGTGTGGAGGGCCAGGATAAACTACCATGTTATTGCACCTCAGAGACACCATAGATACAGGAACGCAGATCGCCATATTGGGGTCACCGCCTGGAAAAATGCCCCCAGAATGTTGAATTATATGTTGTCCTTAAGACAAATTTTACAATTTTTCATGTGCAGCTAAAATTTTATAGAACTGATTCACAAGTTATACACCAAGAAAAAATAAAGTGTTGCATTTTTACACATTTGAAACAGTTGTGTTTCCAAGAAGAGATCCAATCATTGACAGTATGAATCAGTAAAACAGTCACCTCTACCTTTTTAGGTTTAAGTTTACTAGAAAATAAAGATGACCTGCTTGAAAAGTGGAGACAGAAATTTTAAACATTTCACAAGGTACACATACAGTCAAAGGTTGCCCTCATTAGACTATGATTTACTACTTAAATACCACATAATAAATCTCGGGTCTTCTCTTTCTTGGTAAGAAAGCAGTAACTAGCCAAGCTAGCTAACTGGCTGGCTGAGAGAGTGGTATCAATCTTTACATCTAATCTATATCCTTTAACTTTGTCATAATTTGGTGAAAAGATTAACTCTGTAACAGGTCTGGAAGGTTTTGACTCCTAAAACATGTTTTTTTTTGTTATTTTGAAGGCAGAAAATGATTATGTTCTTCGTGTTCATGTTGCACAATAAAGAAATATCTGAATGTATGGTGATTATATGTATGCACTATTCATTATTAAATGGGTAGTTCTAGTCATTGCCTGTGAGCGTATATTGCAGCTGAAACAAGCACTGCCAAACAGCACTCTGTACATGTGTGCGTCATTCACTTAACAGATTTAATGCTCTGATCCTTTGGTGATCTGCATGTAGTGTGTGTGTGTGTGTGTGTGTGTGTGAGTGTGTGTTATCATACCCTTCAGCAGTGTGAGTGAGTGGATTGTGGTAGGAGGGAACCTTTGACCAAGCGGAGAGGAGCAGCAACTTTGAAGCGTCAACTTAGGAATGAATTTGTTTAAATCCCTGACGCACGAACACCCCCTCCTTCCATTATTTCAAACTCATCTTCCTCTCTGGCCCTGTCCTCTCGCCCTTGCATTTCACGCTTATTTCCCCTCTTTCATCATTTTTGCATCTCTACATCTCTCCTCTTGTCCTCTATTTTCAGTTTTTTTTTCCTTTCCCATCCCAGTTACACAACAGACGTCTTTCCTGTCCACTTATCTGGACTGCTCTTTTTTTTATCCCTTTTTGAATCACTGTGTTATACTGTGAGCGCTTTAATTATTTTACAACATGAGACAGAATGTGTCCTGCACGTTCCAGATGACAAACTTCAAAACATACCTTCAAAAAAATGTAGTTATATTAAATAATTTCTTTGATATTTAAGATTATTTAAATTCATTATTTTGTAACAATATGTTCTGCAGCAGAGAGGAAGTACAGAGATTATAACTCTTGAGTCATTAAAGATAAACACCTCTCTGGTTAACAGCTACACTGTACATAACATGCGGCTGACAAGCTCTTACTCGTGTCTTTGTTTCACTTTAGCCCACTCTCCTCTCTTCATCCTTGTTTTCTCTGTCATCATCAGTTATGCAACAAGTACTGGAGAGACTCATTGCCAGGAAGTGGAGTGATGCCATATGTAGGTGGCAAGAGCCTGTGTGGGTGAAACTGTCCATCCACGCTCGTCGAGTGTCAGACTTACAAGTTCTACGATTACAGTGAACATGAGCAACTCTCGGCGCTAGAGACGAGAGAAAACAAGGTTCTGAGCTGTGATATAATGAAAAGAACAAGCCAGGAGCTGAACCCCTGCCAATGAACCGAGAGCTAACTGTGGATTTGAGACTGTGCTGTAACATTCGTTTAAAAAATATATCATACCTAAAAATGTCGTCCCAATATGGTTTTTGATAGTGTAGCTTATTATCTTGATAAGGTTTTATGTTCTATAGTGCATGTTGAAAAAAAATGCACGTTCTGTTGCTTTCTGGACCTGGGTCACTGCTGCAGAGGGTAAAGATCTTCCTGAGGAAAGCCCAAGGTATTCCCTATGCTAGCTGGGGATATGTACACTCTCCAGCATGTTCTGGGTCTATCCTGGGGTGCGTCTCGTGTCGCTTAATTGCATCCACGTTTCCCTCACTTGCATCTTTTCCTTGCGTCTTAGTCCCTCCCATCAGGGAGAGGAAATGTAACGAAGAACGAGGAAATGTGTTTTTAGAGAATTGAGACGCCCTTTCCTCTGAAGCGCCACGTGAAGCGACGTCCATTTATGGTGATGGCGGCAGCTGATCACAGCTGGATGAGCTGTCAGTCGGCTACAACAGCTGTAGAGAGCTTTTGGTAGAGTGGATGTGAACTGTACTAATATTAATAGAGACACACAGTTAGCAGTGCCAGAGCAGCAGCCTGTTAGCTGTTTAACCTGCACATGAATAACAACCTGCATTATAGATTGCAGTTAAAACGGCGGGCACTGCGATTGATCTGACAGCCAGGTTGTAAACATTAGGCTAACATTCTGATTAATAGCGGATGGATTGAGGGTGGGTGAAAAGTTTCTCCCCATTATGAGAGAGGCTTACGCACGAGGCAAAGCAGCATAACTTCGACACGGCAAAAGGATGGTAAGGATCTGTGTTCTTCTACACGTCAATCACTTCAACAACCATTACTGCGCGCATGGAAACGCTTAAAACGACTATTTTAGACTGAACTAACTGTTGTGTAAGAACAACATGACATGGAGGCAAATATTGGTCAGTTGTTCTCAACCTACAGAGAACAACGCAACAACTACTGAGGAATAGGAATCATATAAATAGTGTTGCTTTGACACAGCATTACAGGCAAATGCAACCTACTCAGTTCCTCTTTCAATCAATGCTGATGTACTGCATGACATAATACAGTGCACACAAGCAGGGTTTCTAACGGTCATCACATTTGTGCTTTTTTTGTAAACTTCTCTGCCACATAAATCTTTGTTTATGTGTGACAGCTTATTATTATTTGTCTTACCATGGTCACTCTCTGTCCCAGATCGTCCCCAGTACCGCCGTCTCCGCTCAGGAGTGTGAGTGTGCCGCTCTATCACCGCAGCAATGAATCGAGTATTACTGACTGAAAGTGAACACACACACACAAAGACCTTGTTTAGAAATCAAATACCTGCACTGTCACAGAGTGAGCCCTAGGCAAATTTTAATTAGTTCATCATTAGTATTCAAACCCAATATAGAGTGCTACAGGGATAAGGTCTTTTTGTAGGCCAACCCAGAAGCATCACCCTGGTTCCCTCAAGAAAAAACCTCATGGGATTTTTCCATTGGATTATTACAGAAAATAAACTCTGATGACACACAACTTTATGATTTCTGAAGCATAATTACAATTACCAGAAGCAAAAAAGCTAACTTTAGGCTACAAACAAACGACAGGAGGGTTGCTTTAAGTGTTCGGCGCGACGACATTTAAAGTCACAGACAACCTCTGTAGTGTCATTTAGTCGCTATTTAGCAACCGCCTTTAGCTTATGTTAACCACATAACTTATTTCAGGCATCCAACCAAAAACCCATTCACAAAACCCATCAACTATAAGACAAATGGAAGATTAGCAAAAATGCTAACTCATTTGAACTAATAGGACTCAATCCTGCAGCACTCCATAAAATGATGTGTATGTGTTGAATATAACATTTATATCAATGAGATATCAAACTATACTTACTGATTCCTCTGTCCTCATGGCTGTCTTCATCCCTCTCATCTCTTTCGTTGTCCAGGTTGGACATTCTCACTGACATTTCTGGAGCAGCACGGAGAGAAAGGGAATAAGAAAAATGTCAAGATGAGATATTGTGATGGAATATTTGAACAGAGTTATTTATCCAAAGCCAGACAGTTTATATCTGTATGGGAGCTTCAGCTGATATTCCTTTTTGCTCTTTGGCTAAGTTAATAACCTTTATACACGGGACATTAGCCAGAAGGAAGGCTTGTTTGTGTGTGTGTGTATATTAGGGTTTAGTATGTCGAAAACGGGGGCGACATGTGCTGCAGTACAAGTTACTTTTATTGCTTCGTGTGTGTGTCGCTGCTGTAAGCTGCAGCTGCAGAAGAGACTGAACATGTCGTGACTTTATGAGCCAATTGCTCAGCCTAATGCCTTGTGATAACGTAGCCACACTCTCCGCTATCTATTCCAAGTTGTTTACCAAACTATCAGACTGAAAGTGGACTCAAGAGTTTTAATGAGGTTGTAATCTTGTTTGATGTTTTTGTCAATAACACTGAGTAATTACACAAATGCCACGTGATGCTACCGTCAGCTGTTTAGCTCCAGCAGCACTTGTCACACTGCTTGTTACTCGTGTTGCTTTAAAACTTCGTATCTTCCTGTG